TATATATATATATATATATATATATATATAAGATGAATTTGTTAGGGTTTCTGTGAGTAGAATGAGATGAAAATAGATCTTAGTTGGGAGAAGAACCCTCTCAGCATAAAAAGTACGAACTCTCTCATTCCTTTGAATTTGTTACTCTTATCCCTCCTTTTATGACTCAACAATTATTTTATTTTATTTACTATGAATTTTTCTTTTTATTTTTATATTGTGAAATTAAGATTTTTTTTATATTTTTAAAAAAGAAAATTAAATAAGACATTGCAGTATCTAATTTTTTAGGGTTTAGGATTTATGCCTTCATTAGCTTATTTTTAAAAAAATGAAATATTGTTAAAATATTTTCTCAGTATCGAATATAATGATTTTTTTATATAAAAAATTATCTTTTGTTTCTATATTTTTGTTTTTATATTTTTTTTATAATGATTGAGATATTTGATCCATTTGGATAGTCAAGATATATCCGATCTTGTATAATTGGTGTGCTTCTAAAAATAATAATATAATTTTATTGATTTTGTCTCTTATCCATAATTATTTATATAACTAGTTTCAACATATATTATTTTAGTAATTCAAATCGGAGATTCACAAGGAAATAATAAAGAAAAAGGAAAAGAGAAAGAAAACTATGAAGCTTGGACCAAGGAGGATTTCGATGAATTGTTACAATTGATAGTGGATGCTATAAAAAGATGATAGAATATTATGGAGAATTATTATTATTATTTATCTAGACATTATTGTTTTTTTTTTATTTTTATCTTTGACTCTTTTTAAATTTGAATGTATGAATTTTTTTTAAATCTTATCAAATGTCAAAACTCCACAAAATCCCACAGAATCCATTAAAATCCTGATTTAAAAGTCTTGTAGAATCCATTAAAATCCTGATTTTAAATCTTGTAAAATCCTGCAAAATCTTAAAAGTCATGAAAATCCTGCAAAGTCTTTTAAAATCTGCAGGATTTTTTTTCACTAAAAAAGTCCTTTAAAATCCTAATCCAATACACCCCCCTAAGTCTCTTGGCATTTCTGGCTTCTTTTTGTACCCTTACTTACAATGCTCATTGTTAAGACACCCCTTTTTTATCTTCACAAAATTGAAGACCTTTATTCCATCAATTTATTCCTTTTTTAGAAACAAAAAAAAAAATTCAATTTGGTTCTTTAATTTAAAAAAAAAAGTCTAATGTGATCCTTCTGTCCAAATTAATACTAGTGATTTTAATGAAATTAAGTGAAATGACAAAATTAAACATTTTTATGAAAATTAGAGTACCAAATTAAACATTTAAAAATAAAGGATCAAATTGAATATTTTAAATGATTCAATTTTTCCATCTAATTTTCAAATGATATTCAATATAATCCTCCAATCGAATTTCATTATCATTGTTAATATTAATATAGACAGAAGAACACCATTTAACAATTTTAAAAATTAGAGGATCAAATTAAATTATTTAAAATAAAAAAAAACAAATTAAATCTTAAAAATAATTAAAAGAACCAAAATATAATTTAGTGAAAAATATTTTGACAATTATGTAATTTTATAAAAATGACAATCACCGGTAACTTAAAATAGCTGGGTGCAGAAAGAAAAAACCATAAGAAAAAGAAAAAACGGTGTAAGAATAATATGGGCCGGTTCTTGCTATCACAACCTACGTCGTTGTAGCCCAAACGCGACAACGTTTTGCCACAAGTCGAAAAATTCTTGCAAACGGCACTTTCGAAAGGAACGGTAGAAGCAAGTTGTATCGCCATGGATTGAGATCGAGGAAGACGAAAAATTCAGATCGGATCGAACAAGTTGAGAAAGAAGCGAAGATGGGAAAGGAAAGTAGCAGCAGCAGCAGCAGCAACCCGGTTCAGGTGTTCCAGTGGCTGAACCGGATGGTCTCAGAACCTTATTATCTCTTCCATTTCTTAACTTTCTTCTCCTATTTAATCGTTCGCAGCTCCGCAACTCAAGTCCTAGCGCCTCATGTCACCCACCATCTTCTTCGTCGCGTAACACACTCTCTCTCTCTCACACTCGCACGTGTCACTTTGCAGATTGCGTACTTTACTCGTTCCTTCGTTTGCAGGAAATACAAACGCTGCTGGTTTTCGCTATGTTGGCTCTCGTCAAGGTGCCTGCTACTGAAATCAGATCGAATTTGTGCTAGATTCCAGTGTTCGCATCTGAATTGAGTTAAATTGAATTCGATATTCCTCGTTTGCATAAAAATTTAGGGTAAAACTTAGGTACAGTTGTGCGGTTGGTGCTGTTATCCAATCACTTCTGGAGTTTTGCATTAAATGCACTTGCATGATACCAAGATAAAACACCAATTTTGATTGGGGAACAACTCCTGTAACTAAGTTTTGTCCAAAACTTACTAGATGATCGTGTGAATAGTAATTGCTGTCACTTTGTTGTAGACTTATTATATGCGTTGCGTATACCACTGTAATATTTCTCTGGATTTTTTTTATATAAATAAATATAATGTAAATTGCTGGTTATGTAATTGAACTATTGGGAGTTATAAGGTGGGAAAGTGGTTTGAGGGAGGGACACAGGGCTTAAGTGATAAGGAGGAGTTGGTTTCGAATCCTTCTTTTAACATAACAATTAACTACTAACATTTGCTATAAAAAAATAAATAAATAAATCAACTATTGGTCCTGTGCATGCCATAAAAAGGCTAATGGGAATTCCATGTGACTAGTGTATGGTGAAATTAATCACAGTTTTAATCTCCAATTATGCCATGAGTTACCTGAGAAAACCGGGTGTAATTGGGAAAGTTGGTTTAAATTAATGCAACTACAGTAAATCATGTGACATTTCGGTTAGCCTTTTAGGGTTTGGATAAATTTCTCGAAAAGTATTTATAGGAGAAGAAGATAGAAAGGAAAAGTGAAATAAACTTTTTCAAAGCTAAAATTAGCATAGACATGAGTTAAAAATAAGCATAGACATGAGTTAAAAATAAGCATAGACATGAGTTAAAAATAAGTTTGTGGAAAAGTTAATATAAGAGAGCTTCTGTAAATTAACTTGTGTAAACTAATTTTAGATTATGTAGAAGCTTATTTAATTTTTTCTTCTCCTATAAGTGCTTCTAGAGAAGTTTATCCAAATAGAACCTTAAAAGTTTGCTTAATGAAAGGGGGTTTTGTGCATTAAATGAGAATGGAGTAAAGTTAAAGTGTTTTAGCTTCCATTTAGCCAAAAAGAATCTTTCTACATTCATGAATCAAAATATTCTAGTTTTGTCTTATGTGCTAGTGAGATTCTCTGTTATAATATCTTGTGTTGATTTGAGTGGATATATCCATCATCAACTGTTGTGTCACATACTTCTGTTTTCAACCTTGGACATATGTGTGCATTCACTGCATTGTATTCAATTCTATCATTTTTCTGTTTTAGGGAGTAAAAGAAGAGACATGGGAAGCCTTTATAGCTGATGCACTTTTCCTTGCCAAGGTGATTGTCATGGATGTGTTTGCAAAACTCTTACAGCTTCCTTCTTTGATTCCTACATCATTTCCCCCTTCCCCCTTTTGTTATTATTAGTAAGATAGGGTTTTGACATTTTTATTTATAATTTGAACTTGAATTTGTCATATACCATAATACTATATCTTTAGTCTAATTAGATGCGTATTGAACTGTTAATCATGCATTATCATGATTTTCCTGTTCTTCATTTATTATTAGCAATTGCACAGTTTTGGTTGTGAACAAAAGTAATGCACATGTTTCATGTGTTAAATCAATTTCTAGCTGCAAACTACCTGTGGTTTCATCTCTTTCTATGTCTATGCGGAAGTTCTCAAACCTTCTATCTTATTTTAATATTTCCAGATTTGTCTTTTTCTCCTAGCCTTTACAATGGATCGACGCTTAGCCATTTGGTATATTCTTGTATTTTTAGGTGGGTAGTTTCCTCTTATTTTGTGATTGTTAAGCACTGTTTCATTTTATTCACACCGCATTTAGTTTTCCTGTAATAGAATATCAACTACTAAGTATGCACCATGAACCATGAGACTTTTACTTTGGTTAATTAACATCTTATATATTTTTTCATCATTTTTTAACGGTGTAAAATCGATTGTTCTTGCTTTTTCCATTCTGATGGTAATAAGTCCAATGTGTGTGTTGGATATCTGCTGAAAGTTAATTACAAACTGTGATTCTATAACTCCATTTAATATATGCTTAGTTATGATTATTTTCTGTGTTGCAGTGATACATATGTTAACTCAACAACCTCCATTCGAAGGACTAGGTACTGTTAGTTGGGTTTGGCTGATTTTCCTTTACGATTTTGAAGGACTAGGTACTGTTAGTTCATTATTTTATAATTTGATATCATATAATTAAATTCTGTTTCTCTTTGATTAATTCTTACAGGTACATCTAGCAAGCTAACACCATTGCAGTTGGAAAGCCTTCTGACAGAGGGGACCACTACAAGATTGTGGCTGGTGCGTATCTTTAGTTGAATCAAATTGCTATCTGAATCTTTTGAAATCTGTTGTTAGTTTAGTGAATGCACAATGATGATGACCTCTGGAAACAGTGTGGTTCAATAGCTATATTTACATAATGTATTAATTATTATTATTATTTTTTTTTTTATCAATTTTGTGTTTTTTTAAGGCATTTTTTGGGGGAATTCATGGGTGTAAAATGTGGTAGGTGAGAAGAATTTACTTCTGTTTTTTTCCCTTTATGTAATTTAATGGTCAATTAGTAATGCATATTGGTGTGAGTGTTCAATAGCTATATAATGCATTTACTTATGTTTATGCAATTAAACCTATAATGCATGAAACTACCACACTACCCTTTTTTAAAGAGTGCAAAGTAATAATAGAAGACTAAGGAGGTCTTGTCGTTGTTTATGTTTTAGTTCTCTCGCTTTTTCCCTTAGTCTTATCCATTCTGCTTTCTTTGAGTTGGCAGGTGGAATTTCGTGCTTCATATTCACCTGCTTGCATTCGCTCAAGTCAGCAGTTTCCTGAGCTCTCAATTACGTATGCTTCTCTTTTGCCCTTTTTCTTGAACTATTCCTCCTCCCTTGAGTAAAAAGGGAAAATTACAGAAAATTTATGGTTGTTGTACTTTCTTACGTGATGTGAGTAGCTTTTGTGCTTTTAATCTACTTGGTTTATAAGCTGTCCAAATTTCCAGAGGTTTTTCAGTTTGTGTGAACTTTTTTTTTTTCTTTCTTTTATTCTATTTGTTTTTATATTTTTAAAATGCTAAAATGTAGAAAACAAATTTGGCTGTGTTTTTTTGGTTTTAATACATCAATTAGTTTCTGAACTTTTTGGAAATTCTTAATTAAGTTCCTAAACTTAAAAATATTGTAATTGAGTCCTTGATTTTTTTTATTTTTTGTAATTAATTTCTTGTAGATAATATGTGGTGGTTTCCTCTTTGGTAAGGTTTGTTATGTTGGACGTTCTTCCGGAGCACTTAAGGCTTTGCTTCAAGTTGATGCCATAGGCACAACTTTCCTACGTGTTTAATGCTACCTTTTCTTTTGTTTTCATTTGTAACCAAAAAAATAAATAAAAATAACATGATAAAATTAACAATTTGTGATGTTTTTTTTTTTTTTTTTTAATTTAAGGACCTAATTAAAAAATCTCAAAAAGTTCAGAGACTTGGTGATCCCTTTTTATTTTTTTATTTTATTTTATTTTATAATATTATTATTACAATATCAAGTTGCCACCACATTTTTCCTGAAAATTGATGGAAATGAATATTTGGTTTTGAAATTTGGCCCCGGTGTTAGAACTGTTTCCTGAGGTTTTCATTCAAACCTAACCAAATGCATTTTCAAATTTGTTTTCTGTTTAAATTGAAAATGGGAAAAGGAAATAAGCAAACTAAACACTAAAATATTTGACTTTTTAGAGATTCTACCATCAAATGCAAAGCAATCCCATTTTTTTCCCATTGTTTGCTTGGGGAAAAACTAAAAGTACATGAACTAGAGTTAATATCCCACATTATCTATGTAAAGGTATATGACTAAAATACTTCTTTTAATGACTTAGGCAAGTTTATTCATTGAGTTGGACTTTGGAACTGCGTTAGACCCAGCCTGTTCTGAATTCCAATATTGTATTAAAACCTATCAAATACCAGGAAATTATATCAGAGGAACTTCTTTACTGTATAGACAGCAACTATAGGAGGTCAACTAATTTGGTGAAGAACTTATATCCTGCATCAGCAATTTTCATGGAAAATTGTTGTGATAAGCAGCTTTTGACAATTTCCGTACATTCATGTCTCTGGCAGATACTCAAGCAAAAATTTATCATTTGGAATAGTTGATGTTGGTCTCTTTCCCAATGCTGCTGAAAAATTCGGAATATCGCTAAGTGGTACTGATATTAATTGATAATCATTTGAATTTGCATTTGCATTTCCTTTTTTCATTAAAAGTACTTAATTTCTTTCTGTTTTAGTTTTCTTGTTTCTCTAGTTGTTATTGTATAGCGAATAGGGAATTTATATGATTCCTTGTGTTGTGGTCAGGAAGCATGGGCCAGCTTCCAACATTTATCTTATTTGAGAATGCAGCTGAAGTTGCCCGCTTTCCAGAGTTGGATTTTGAAGCTACATATTTTCACCCTACGATTACAAAGGTATCTGTCGGATAAACTTTTCCTATAGATAAGAAAATAAGGTATAATGAGTTGGGTTTTTCTCCCATGTTAACTTGTGAATCTTAGTTTTTTGAAAAGTTAGATAAGAGAACTTTTATAAAAAATAAGTGCACAATTTGATTTTAATTTATGGGTGTTCAATTTATTTTACTTTATTTTTTTTTCTCTTATAAATACTTACAAAAAAGGTTTATGCATAAGCCTTTTTGGATATAGTGTTGAAAGGCTTTTAAGAGCTTCTCTATTGAAAATTAAGAGTAATTTTCAATAGAGAAGCTTTTAAAAATTCTTCAAAGCTGGTATCCAAATATAATCTTGTACAGCTAATGTATGCTTCGATTTTAAAACATTGTCCATGGGCTGTGTCATGATTCAAGTTGAGCATTGATCAATTAGTTGTTTCTGACCTAGAGTTTAACCGTTCATATGAACTGTGAGCTGCAGGGACTTCTTTCTCGACATTTTGAGCTTGATCGGTACCTTCTCGAATATATTAATGGTAAATAGGTAATTGCCTCGTAGTTCTAAACTTCTAATACTCCTTTTTCTGGATTGAGATTTGTTTAGGATGTAATGGAGCAAGTTGTACGAAATTTAGTCTCTTCACTCTAATATATGCTATAATTGCAGGTGGTCTAGCATCAATTCAAAGAAAATCAAATTTTTTTGGGTAAAGAATTCAAATTTTAGTTGAACAAAAAACTAATTTAGGATAAGAAATTCCTTCTAGTAAGCGGATTTACCTTGTTGGATACGTGAGAAATTACAATTTTTTAATCAAACGTAGTTAAAATAAATAGTTTTTTTTTTTTTGGGGGGGGGGGGGAATGACATAACATTGAAGTTTTTCCCTATGCATATAAAATCAAAGAGCCACAAATGTGACTTGAAACTCATTTTATTTAAAAATATATTTATTTTAAAAATATTAGATGCATAAAATAGATTGAGGGAAGTTGTCCTAATTGTAAATTTGATGGAAAAAAAATCGTATGAAATAACATTTTTTTTTTTGAAAATGATTGAGATTCTAATTAGTGACGGTCACGGCCCACGATTAAAACATTTTTTTTAATAAATAGCTATTTAAGTTCGAATATCATAGCAAAAAATTAATTTTTTTTGTATGAAATTCAATTTACTATCACAAATATCATAGTGATGAAAAAGATTAAGAGATTCAATCTATTACAACACAATTTTAATATCATGATTTGAGGCTAGTATATATTTTTTAGATTTGTGATTTTAATTTCTTGATTTAATATCACAATTCTATTATCTCCAATTTTAACATGTCACAATTTTAATATTTAATTATTTATGATTTAATATAATTTTAATTTTCTAAAATAAATATATTTAGAAATGATAAATAATAATTTCACTTATAAAATATAATCTAACATGCACGTTTCCTTTTTTAATAGTAATTACTTAAAAGAATTTGAACGTGAGAAAAATTTTATTATTATTAAATTATACAAAACATAATTATAAACATTAATTAAAATATATAATTTTAAAGTTTGTACTAAATAAACTTCTTTATTAGAAAATGAAAAAGAATTTAACATAAATAAATAAAATATTATTTATAAATAAGAATGTGTTTATTATCATATTTTAAGAGTAGTATTTTATAACTCAATATGCAAAACTTCTCCAAAATTCCAAAGAATAGGATTACATGTGTAAATAGAAATTAATAAATAAATGCGTTTTTCAGTATGTTGTTAAAAGTTTTATTATTGACTATAGCTATAAAAGAAAAATTTTGAATGGGAGAGGAAAAAATTATTTCGATAAATTTTATACCTTTAAGATACTTTTTTTGGTTTAAGGGTATTTACTCGAAATCATCTAAGCTATGTTTTATGGGGCACTCAATCTCTCAAAAACGCTTGAAAGACGAGAATCCAAATGTGATTCCCTGTAGTACTTGATGCTCAACACCTCATCGTGTGAGAATAAAGACAAATTTTATTGAAAATACTTGGTGTTTAACATCCCATCATGTAAGAATAAAGACACAAATCTTATTGCAAAACGTCGTTATAGGAGCCTTTAAAACTAAAAATAATCGTTAAATAAGTGTCTGAATGTGTAACATATTAATCTTAAATTCAAAGTTTTTGAGTAAATTGAAGCCAAGCAAGCTGTCTTTTGGAGCATTCTCTTGATCCCTCAGAAACGTTCGGAGAGGATAACTCTACAAAGAAATTTGAGTCATTTGACACCTTGTTTTACTTGGTGTTCAAAATGGCCATCATGCAAGAGAACAAAAACACAAATCTTATTGTAATTGTTATTGGAGTAAATATTCCTATTTTTCTCAAAAAAATTGTATATCCCATTTAGTCCCTAAATTTTAAAAATGATATATTAGTCTCTAAAATTAAGAAATTCTTAAATACAAATATGAAATTACAAATTGATAATCACATTAATTCAATGACAAAAATAATAGTAAATAATTAAATTTAAAAACTTATTTGACATTCTTAATATTTATTTGATAATTTCTTAATTCATATATGAATATGACAATGTCTTCCAAAATTCAAATACTAAAGTGAGTGTTTGGTTATTATTTGGCATATAGGGGAGAACTTTACTTATTCCAATAATAAGTTTAGGTATATTTACTTCATTCAATAACTTACGTTTTATATTCAATTTTAATGATCTAATTGTTAAATTAAAAGTTTGAATAGATCAAGTTTACAAATATTTTAAAAAAAAAATTAAAAATTATTTGATACTTTATTTTTATAATTAAAATTATCAGATATTTATAAAATTCTTTTATACGTTATTTAAACCTACAAAACAAATTATCATATGACTTTTTAACTTTTAAAAATTTTGTAAACTTAATTCATAGATTAAAAATATTTAATTTAAATATTAAATAATAAATATTTAATATAAAATATAAATTATTAAATAAAGTAAAAATATCTTTGACCCGTGAGTTATATGCTACATAATTCCGGTGACTAAACCTTGAATTTCGTCCTCCATTTTGTGGGCCATAAGTTGGAGGCCCACATGGTACTTGGTGACGAGATCCTGAAGAAGCAAGCCTTCAACGGGGTCAACGGCGAAGGACCATTCCAACATGCATCCATCAGAGTCATCATCGCTGAGGACCTTCATGGTTGACTCGTATGACCTGAACCCAATGTTGCCGTCAACCATCTCGTACTTGAGGCTGAAGTCAACATCATCAACGACTACCAGCCTTTCCTTTGACCAGCTCACGCTCCCCGAGGCGTTGGATTTGGATGGAATGGAGGAGCCGGCGCAGTATCGTATGCAGCCAGGCTCACCGTTAGATCCGTGAATCCCGTAACACGTGGCGAGGGTAGGGAAGCGCTTGTGGAGATTGAAGAAGTCCTTCACAAGGGGCCATGCTTGTTCTTTAGTGGCGTTTCTCAGCTTCGCTGATACCTTCCCCTCCCATCTTTCGTGCAACTCGTGCTCCATTTTGGTGCAAACCAACAAACTCTGGAAGGAAGGAACCATATAAACCAGATTTAAAATATAAAAAAAAAATTTAATAAAAATTAACAATTAATAATACACAATGTAATTTTATTTTCATTTTATTCAAATTTCAAAAATTAATCCATAATAATTAATTCTGGAGAATTTATAATAATTCACCCACCTTGATAATTTTTTTAAAAATATATGTCAATTGAAAATTTATAAAAACAATAAAAATTAAATAAAATATTTAGAATTATTTATTAAAATAATATATTTTTTTTATTAACTTTTCATTTATGTCATCATATGTTTCTTGATCTTATGTATTTTTTTTATAATTAAAAGATATAACTCTCTTTTACAAAAAGTCTACTCATATTAAGGATAAAGTCATACTTTCAATATCGATTTCATGTTTAAAGTAAAAATTGAACTCTGATATTTAATTAAAAAATATAAATATTGAATTATTTGTGCTAACAACTTTTGATCTCTTATGTATTTTTAATCTTTCAAATTTAACTATTTATATTTTTTTTTATATAGATTTTAAAGTTTTCAAATAAATAGCAGTAAAAAATACAGTATTTCTTAATAAAGTAATTATTTTTATCTTGTTATATATGAATCTTAAATAGAGGGGAAAACCAATTAATGTAATAATATACATTTCGTACAATTTCTTCACGTAATTATAAATATGTCCTAGTAAATATTAATAAAAAATAAGAATAATATGTTTTAAGTTAATTTTTATTTATTTATTTAATAAAAAATAATAATTAACTATACACAATGTAATTTTATTTTCATTTTATTTAAATTTCAAAATATTAATCCATGAGAATTGATTTCGGAGAATTTATAATAATTCACCCACCTTAATAATTTTTTTTAAAAGTATATGTCAATTGAAAATTTATAAAAACAATAAAAATTAATAAAATTATATATTTAGGATTATTTATTAAAAAATATATTCTTTCTTTTTCATTAACTTTTTCCATTTGGGATTTTATCAAAATTGTCTTATAACATTTGCTATTTTTTTTAATCTTTCATTAGCTTTTCATTTATGTCATATATGTTTCTGGATTTTATGCATTCTTTTAATAGATTAAAAGATGCAACTCTCTTTCATTGGATTATATTAAAAGTAAAGTGATACTTCAAGTTCCTCATGTTTTAAATGAGGATTGAATTCTAGTCTTTTGGTTGAGAAATCCAAATGTCAAACTATTTATGTTAACAATTTTCGGTATCTTATGTATTTTCAATCTTTCAAATTAAACTATTTATCTTTTTTTTTTATAGATTTTTAAATTTTCAAATAAATAGCAGTAAGAAATACGGTAATTTTTAATAAAGTAATTATTTTTATCTTGTTATATATGAATTTTAAATAGAGGGGAAAATCTATTAATAATAAAATACATTTCGTACAATTTCTTCACGTAATTATTGATATGTCCAAGTAAAATATTAATAAAAAAAATAAGAATGATATTTTTTAAGTTAATTCTTTTGTATGTTTCATAAAAAAATGTTTTTATATTCTTAATATTAACATAAGGTAGGTTTAAATTCCTATGAATTTTAATAAAGTTATTGAATATTTATTAATTATTTGTCATTACCAATAAAATACCTGTTCTTACCGGAAATCTGCTGTAGGGATGATCTGCCGAGTAAGATGGGTGAGCCTCCTTCGCTGGTACGTTGGTGTTCCAAGATGGGGGTGGTACCTGCAAAAGAGACTCTGATGACAACGTCAGGGTCTGTGTGAATATCAGTCTAGTATAAATAATGAAACCAACTAAGTGTGAGTTAGGGTTGAGTTGGGAATTGAGAATAAGATGAGATATGGTATGATTAGATAACGGATCTCATCTGGAGCGAGATCCCCTGAGATCGGTTATGATCTATTTAAGTGCCGATCTGGCTTCACGCGACGCGTGCCCGAGATCGTCTTATGTTGTGATATCGAGCTGGGAGCTCGGCTCTGGAGTGTGGATAGTACACTAGCCCCCCGAGCTCCGAAGACCGTGGGTCGAGGAGTTAAGATCGAGCTCGTCAAGTGGCTGTGACCCCTCGTGTATGCTTGCTTGTTGAGGAGCCATGGGTCATAGCTAGTCATTTCCCGAAAACGTGCAGGTGGCGCGTTTATGAGAATGACGGTTATGCAATGATGGTTTCCAATTAATGTGTCGTTAGATGCGCCTTTTGGCTGACACGTGTCGTGACCGTTTTGAATTTGGGGAAAAACCCTTTTCTTTCCCTCTCCCGCGTCTCTTCTCATTCACTTTACTTTCTTTCACTCTTCGGCTTCTCGAGTATGATAGTTCTCTTTGCTTTCTTGCTTCCGTTCGTTCTCCGCCTCCATTTTCACAGTCTCCACCGTTGTTTTCGGTAACCCAATCATTGTTAGGGTTATTTTCTGAGGAAGAGTACCAGGTACTTTCTTTCTACGATTTTCTTTTTCTTTCTTCCCTACTCTTCTTCGGGTCTTTCTTGTCGTCTTTATGGCTGGAAGGAGTGGTGTTGGTTCCTCCGCGCCTGCCAAGGGCAAGGCACGGGGTAAGGCGGCGGCTGCCGG